TGGTTATGCATATAAGTTCTTTAGTTTACTTCTTCCCACTCCCCAACCCCTTTCCCTTTGAGGTTTGTCAGTCTAGCAATGAATTTGTACTTCTTAATCCCTTCACCTTTTTCACCCATTCCCCCAACTCCCTCCCATCTGGCAACCAACAAAATGTTCTCTGTATCTATGAGAATGTTTCTTTTCTGTTCTACCTGTTCATTTTGTTTGTAGATTCCATTGTTGATAGATATTTACTCATTGCCATTTTGTTTGTTTATATATTTTATCTTTTTCTTCAAAAAGACCCTTCATCATTTCATATAATAACGGTTTGGTGGTAATGAACTCCTTTAACTTTTTCTTGTCTGGGAAACTCTTTATATGGCCATCGATTCTAAATGACAGCTTTGCAGGATAGATAATCTTGGTTGTAGGTTCTTGCTTTGCATCACTCTGAATATTTCTTGCCACTCCCTTCTGGCCTGCAAAGTTTCTTTTGAGAAATCAGCTGACAGCCTTATGGGAACTCCCTTGTAGGTAACTAGCTGCCTTTCTCTTGCTGCTTTTAAGATTCCCTCTTTGTCTTGAACCTTTTGCATTTTGATGATGATGTGTCTTGGTGTGGGCCTCTTGGTGTTCATCTTGTTTGGGACTCTCTGTGCTCCCTGGACTTGTATGTCTGTTTCCTTCACCAAGTTAGCAAAGTTTTCTGCCATTATTGTTTCAAACAGGTTTTCGATTTCTTATTCTCGGTCTTCTCCTTCTGGCACCCCCAAGATGCGAATGTTGGCACGCTTGAAGTTGTCCCAGAGGCTCCTTACACTGTCCTCATTTTTTTTGGATTCTTTTTCATTTTTGCTGTTCTGATTGGGTGTTTTTTGCTTCCTTATATTCCAAATCGATGGTTTGCTTCTTGGCTTTATGTACTCTACTATTGAATCTGTGTAAATTATTCTTTATTTCAGTTAATACCTCCTTCAATTCTGACTGTGCATCCATCATTTCTGACTGGTCCTTTTTTATGCTCTTGAGGCCCTCACTAAGTTCACTGAGGTTCTCACTGAGTTTATTGAGCATCCTTATAAGCAGTATTTTGAACTCAGCATCTGTTAGGTTGCTTATTTCCATTTCACTTAGTTCTTTTCCTGGTGTTTTGTTCTGTTCTTTCATTTGGGACCTGTTTCTTTGTCTTCTCATTTTGGCTGCCTCCCTGTGTTTGTTTCTGTGTATTACTTAACGAGAGATATGGGGTTAGCTGAGATCTGATGCTGCTTGTTTGAAAGAATTTAGGAAAAACCTGAAATAGGATCCAAGACAGGCCAATCCTATGGTTAAGCAAGTGGCAACAGCTTGGGTGGGCCTGAAAGTTGGGTGGGGCGGGGCCTCAGGGAGTCACCAGGGCGGGGCTACCAGTGTGAGCCAGGTTGCTGGAGTCCCAAATATGGTGGCTGTCTGCTGCCCCCCCGGGAAGGGCTCACCAAAGGAACAAAGGCCTCTGACAGCACGTTTGTCCCCGAGAAAGCCCCCTCTCCAGCCCTCACTCCAGTGCCAAACAGCTCAGTTCTTCCCTGTATGTCTCTGGTGCCCCTCAAGCTGCCTCCCCTCCAAGCTTAGAGGGAGAGAGTCCGATAAGTTCGTGCGCGGGCCCTTTAAGGAGCTGCCTGGGACTCCAGCAGCGTCAGCTTCCCTGAGCCTCAGTTCCTGCTGGTTTTTCCAGCCAGAAGTTATGGGGACTGTTCTCCCTGGCACTGGAACCCTGAGCAGGGCACCTGGTGTGGGACAGGGACCCCTCAGTCCTCAGGAAGGACCTTCCCAGCCGAGGTGTCCTCCTGGTTTTTATCCGCCACACGTGGGTGTGGGACCAGCCCATCTCGCCACTGGCTCTCGCGCCTCCGCCCCTCCTACCAGTCTGCATGTGGCTGCTGCTTTAATTCCGCAGTTGTAGGACTTCCATTCAGCTTGATTTCAGGCGGTTTTGAATGATGGTTGTTCTGTAGTTTAGTTGTAACTTTGATGTGGTTGTGGGAGGACGCTATACCTCGTTTACCTACGCCGCCATCTTGACCGGAAGTCTCATTAGAGTCTTAAAAGTATTTCTCAGATGAGATACTTGGTGAATTTTGCAAATCTTTAATATCTTTATTTCCTCTGTGGCTGGGTCTAGGTTACAGGCCTTTTATCTCTAACTCGCAATCAATTTTGCAGTTTTTTAACTTCCTGGGTAGCAGGTAAGAAGAAAACTTTCTTGCCCAATGATCTCACTGCTAGGAATATATTCTAAGAAGCCTGAAACACCAATCATGAAGAATATATGCACCCCTATGTTCATAGCAGTGCTATTTACAATAGCTAAGATCTGGAAACAGCCCAGGTGTCCATCAGTAGATGAGTGAATTAAAAGCTGTGGTACATTTACACAATGGGACACTATGCAGCTGTACAAAAGAAGGATGTCTCACCCTTTGAGACAGCATGGAGGGACCTGGAGAGTATTATGCTAAGCAAAATAAGCCAGTCAGAGAAAGACAAGTATCACATGATCTCACTTATATGTGGAATCTAATCAACAAAATAAACTGACAAACAAAATAGATCTGGAGACATGGAAGCAGGGAACAAGCTGACGAACCTCAGAGGGAAGATGGGAGGAGGGTGGGAAGAGATAAAGCAAAGAACTTATATGCATATAGGCATATAACCAATGGACACAGACAATAGTGGGGTGAAGGCAGTGGGGTGGCAGAATCAGGGAGGAGGAGAGGGTCAATGGTGGAAAAAAGTGGGGACATCAGTAATACTTTCAACAATAAAGAAATTTTTTTAAAAAGAGAAAACTTTCTTTCTGCTTGAAAATGTACTAAGATTTCCCATATCCTTAGAGCTTAGGAATTTTAACCTGTAGAAGGCTAAGTGTGTGTCTTTTCCTATCAGTCTAGTCTTTCTTTAGCTCAGGGAAGTTTAATCTATTATTTAATGATTACCTCTCCTTTCCTGTTCCTATGCTCCAGGAACTCACGGAAACTGAATTAAATCTCCTGGGTCTGTTCCAGTCTCCCATCTTTAACCACATGATTTGCATCACCTATTTTTGTTACATTTTGAGATACTTCGTCTTTAATTTTCTAGACTTGTTTTGGGGTTTTAGCAGTGGCGTCTTCTCCATTGACTTATCTGTAAACATTTTTAGTTCTGATAACACATTTTCTAAATCAGGGAAATCTTTTGTGTTTGAGCTTCATACATTTTTTTCAGTCAGAGATTTACCTGTTTCCTCCAGCAGGTCTCTCTTTGTCTGCATTTCCCAGTCTCAAGGGCTGAGAAATTAAATTGTCCATTAGTTTTGTTTTGTTTTGTTTTTTTGAGAGTAGGGGAGACTCAGCAAAACCAGTGATTGCTCCTACAAAGCAGGCTGTTTCTAGGACTTGCTGCCTTGCTCTTGGCTCTGAGGCTCTTCTCCAGAAATTTGTCTTCAAATTCTCTGCCAAGAGCTCAGCAGAGCCTACTTAAGGTTCCTCACCTATAGGTGAGACTTATCAAAGGAGGGTGTAAGGGAGGTCTTCATGGGTTGCTATATGTGCAGAATTCCCTCGCTCTGAACAGTCTAAGTATTATTGAAGATAAAGCAATAGTCACCAAAAGACTTAAAAACCGAAGCCATTGCCCTGGCCGGTTTGGCTCAGCGGTTGGAGCGTCGACCTGCGGTACAGAGAGACCCGGGTTCGGTTCCCGCTAAGGGCATGTACCTCGGTTGCAGTTTGTCCCCGGCCCTGGTTGGTTGTGCGGGTGGCAGCCCCTCGATGCGTCCCTTCACATCGATATTTCTCTCTCTCTCTCTTCCTCTCTCTCCCTCCCGCTCTATCTGAACAAAAAATGGAAAAATGTCCTCAGTGAGGATTAAAAAAAAAAAAAAACAGAAGCCATTATTATGAATTCAGAATTCAAAGTTGCAAGAGATAGAAAAATCTAACTTTGACTGACTAAGCAAAAAAGGAATTTATTAGCTTACATAACCAAAAAATTCAGGAAGCAGATCTAGCTCGGGGCATGGCTGGATCCAAGATGTCAAATGAAGTCTAAATGACATGTTCCAGCTCTGTTACCCTCCTTGGAGCTAAAACCAGCTTGAGAGTTTAGACTCATCTTGACAAAGGGCAGTGCAAGGCCAAAGACAGAGGGGCCTTGGTTGGATGACTTCAGAGGCTTCTCTCCACCTATAAATAATTCGTTAAGAACTTCCTACCATTGAACCTTTGACCATCCCAAAGACCCTTCTTCTTTGGGTCTTGGGCTTATCCCTGTCCTCCCAGCTGGGATCTCAGGAAGAGGGGGAAAGCTGCGCCCCCAAAGGGCCCTCATGGCTTCCCCTAAGGACCTGCTCCTGGAATTTTGCTTGGGACAGGGCACTCCTGGCTGGACACAAACACCAGTGAGGCAAGGGAGGCCACTAAGCGAAGCACCTGGCGCTGTGGAAGTGGAGAGAACTCCCAGGTAGTTGGTAAGGTGAGACAACTCAACCAGCTGGAGAGGTGTGGCAAGGGGGCCCTCAGAAAGTATTTGAGGTGCATCCAGCTGCCCCAAATTATTTATTTCCTAGACGTAGGGATCGATTAGGAAGTTGCCACAGACCTGACATTCAGTCATGGGGTCCTTGGCTAGGGCGTGAGCCTCAGTGACAGACAAGATAAGGTAAGAAAAATCCAAGGGTTGTAGGGGAGAGAAGGCAGAGGATCCAGGCTTCGGAAACTGGAAGGAAAACAAAGTTCAAATCACACCCAGCTCCACAAGGAGTGAGTCCGCTACGTTCTGCGAACGCAGGAGGTACCCACTGTTCCCGGAGCTAAGTGCCCGGTCTCAGCGCCATCCCAGGCAGGTCTCCAGGGCGGTCCCGAAGTCTCGAGACTTCATCTCCCAGCATGCCGCGGACCTGGCAGCATCACGCCTGCGCAGAGGGGGTGGCGAGGCCGCAACACGCCACGAGGGGGCGCTCGGAGCTTGGTCCTGAACCGACGGGAGGCCGCGGGTGCCGCGGGTGCCGCAGAGCCCCAGCAGTCATTTGAAGCCTCGGCTGCGAGTCCCAGAGGGTCCCAAGTGGGGTGGCGGAACCCAACCCTGCCTCTTCGTGGGTGAAGCCCTCAGTGCCCCAGGCCGTTGACATGTAGAGCCAGTCGTCAGCACAGCAGTCTTCAGAACCCCACACTCCGCTGCCAGTGGTTCCCCGCATCCGGTGCCCGCCCTCAAAGTCACCTTCCCTCCCACACAGCCCCAACTGCCTGCTCTTAACGGCGACCCCGGCCTCTTCTGGGGAGGCGCAGGTTGGGGTCCCCAGGTCCAGGAGCCCCAGGACATTTGGGTTATTGTGTGTCTGTGTGTGCAGAGGAAGTCCCCCTTATTGGGACCACCCGGCCAGTCTCAGGCGCACTGTTCCCTACTCCGGCTTTCTCTGGGACTCCAAGCGGAAAGGAGAGAAGTTTGTCTGTCAAACCTCATGTCTGTCAAGCTGGACCTGCCTCTATAGAGGCCCTAGGGGAGAGGGCCTAAGGCACAGGTTTTGGGGGCGGGGGTGCAGCACAGTTAATAGAGCCCATGAGGAGAGTAGGTCAGGGGCTGATGAGCTTGCAGACTCCAGGCGATAGGAGTGGGGTGGCTCTGAGTGTAAATTCTGGGGATGTTCTAGCAGCAACACTGGCATCTGAGGAGCTGGGCTCTGGCCTCCAGTGTTGATGAGGCAGCTCTTCTCAGACCCTCTTCCCCAGCTAGACTTCCCCGGGAAGTGTTCTGTGCAGACAGCAAAGCTCACACTACCACCATGTGGGGTCTATTGCAGGTCTGTAGCCCACTAGGTAAAATCTAAACACTTCTTAAGACATTTTATTTAAAAACGTTGGGACACAACAGAGGCAGCAGGATGGAGACCTATTCTCCTGCCAAGGTTCTCAGATCAGAAGCCGGGTTTGGGTTCCTCAGGTTGCTAGGTTCCAGGACCCCCTCATCCTGTGGCCTCCCCAGAGGTATACCCACCCAGCTCCTCTTAGGCTCTTACCCCCTCCCCCACTGCCCACTTCCTGTGTCTGAGGAGACATTAAGGTGTGAGGAGTACACTGTAAGAGCAATAGTCCAGAGGATCTGGTAAAACTCCCAGGAGGAGAAGGAAGTGGGGAGGGGTCCACTGCCTCTGCTTCTTCCATCCTCAAGAAACTGGGGCCCTGCTTTTCCCCCAAGATATCTCCCTCACAGGTCAGATAGAAAGTTTGGGGAACATCGCCTCCTGTGACTGGGCAGGGGCTGGCTGTCTTTGGGGATTTGTTGGGAAATAGTCATGCCCTGGACAGAGGAGGCTGGGGCAATGTGTGCCTCACTGTGCCAGGCCCTCCATCTCAGCTGGGTGAAGTCTGGCTGTTGGCATAGGCCTGGTCTGGGAAGGAAGCCCGGGCCCTGCGGGTCTGGGCACACACTGAGGCGTAGAGCTCTGGCTCCGGGCCTGAGGCCTGGGGCTTTGACTCAGAGTCCAGCACCACCTCTGAGTACTTGATGGGGGTTCCAGGGCTCGGGATTCGGCCCTGAGGAGGCCGCAGCTGCAGGCTGGTATAGCACATCACCTCCTCCGCAGCCTGGAGATGCAAGGCTGTTAGAGGTTCACTGGACCCTTGAAAAAGTGCCCCCCACTTCCTTCCCTCCTCTCTTCCTCAGCCACAACTGACTCACCCTGGTGGGGCCTCCAGGTGTTGCATCCTGTTGGTCTGTCCCCGGTTCTTGAGACAGTCGTCCTGGGAGAGGTAACAGGAATCTGGTCACTTCTTGTTCCTCCTCCTGCAGCCCTTCATCCCACCCACCCAAGATCTGACCTCTGTGCCCCTCCTCTCTGCCAGCTTCCTACCTGTCTTCAGGTAATGCAGGTTCCCATATAGGGGGACCTCTTCCACAGACCCTCCAGAACTGCAACACAAAGTTTAGGGGATAAATTGAGACTTCTTGGTAAAGAGAAATTCTCCTCCCATTTCTGTTTCCCTCCACTCACTGTCCCTGTCCTGGATGGTTCCTGCTCCAGCCACTAGTCCATCGGGACAAGTGTGCAGCCAGTGAGATGAGAAGTAGCAGTGTCACAGCCCCTAAGAGGGCCCACAATCCCCAGGCCTGGGTGAAGGAGGGAATTCCTGTGGATGTGAGAGAATAGGGGAGTGGGTGTTACTGCCCAGCCTAACCCTCCAGATCCCAGCAGATGGGACATGGGACCACATGACCCCTCCCCCTGTCCCTGCCCCGCCCAGCTTACCGGGCAGTAGGTAATCCGTGGAGTTGCCACCTCTGCTCATGACTGCTGACGAGGGGGCTGAGTCTGCAGGTATCCAGCCCTGGGCTGGGTGTAAGCCTGGTTTATGGTCTGACAGCTGCAGCAGCCCCTTACTCCCACCCCTCCCTGAGACTGGCCCCCACAGCTTATCATTCTCAATACCGGTGGTAGCAAAGTCTTTGGTTTCCGGGAGGAAGGGGGAGGGGAGGGATGAGTAAAAGAACAGACACCACCCAGTGCCTGCACCTGCGCCACCCAGCAGCTCCTGAACTTCCGCAACTCCCCTCCGCACACTTCCTCCCCTTTGGCCCTGTACCCCCTTTTACTAGAGAAGAGAGAGGCAGGCCTGTGCCACTGTGTAGGTGAGCTCATGGCTCATGAAAACTCCAAAGGAGGGCAGAAGTGGCATGAGGCAGGACTCACAAGATAAGGAAGACAGGCTTTATGACAGAGATTACCTTATGCCACAGGGTGCCTGACTTTTCTCTGCAACTCTGAGTCTCATGAAGATGAACGTGTTCCTCAGTGAGCATGCTATAACGTGGAAGAGAATTGGGAGGTCTTCTGGTATGTTCCATCTCACCAATTCTAACGCTGATCCAAGGTGAATTTGTTGGGATGACCATTGTCACTGTTATTATTATGGGTATAATAATTTGGGGGCTTAAAAAAGCTAGATTGCCCCTTCCCACCCCACTTCCTCCAAACTGTTTATAAGAACTACCAATCTCAAAAGCTAGTTGAATTAGCCTTGGCTGGTTTGGCTCAGTGGTTAGAGCGTCGGCCTGCGGTGCAGAGAGACCTGGGTTCAACTCCCGCTAAGGGCATGTACCTCAGTTGCAGTTTGTCCCCGGCCCTGGTTGGGTCGTGCAGGTGGCAACCACTCGATGTGTCCGTTTCACATGGATGTCTCTCTCTCTCTCCCTCCCTCCCACTCTATCTGAACAAAATATGGAAAAACGTTCTTGGGTGAGGATAATAAATAAATAAATAAAAGTTAGTTGAATTAAAGAAACAGCTCTGCCCCTGTATTATCCTGAGACACTGAGCCCTTTCTTTGCACTTATTCACTTCAGGGAGTGGAGTACCTGCCCTGCACTGAGAGAGCCCAATCAGTGGGAGGCTATCGATGTGGGAAGAGGAAACTTAAGTTCGATATTTAAACCTTAGCCCACTATGGGACACAGCAAAAGCAATCCTGAGAGGGAAGTTCATAGCACTACAGGTCTACCTCAAGAAACAAGAAAAATTCCCAGTCAGGACACATGCCCAGTTTGTGGGCCTGATCCCCAGTGGCTGCCAATTGATGTTCTCTCTCATAGATGTTTCTATTTCTCTCTCCCTCTCTCTCTCTCAAATCAATAACCAAAAAAATAATGATGTTGCCTTTTAAAAAATTAAGTCTAATTGTAGAGTTCTACCCTCTCTCTAAAATCAATAAAGGAAAAAAATTAAAAAAAAAAAAAAAGAACTAGAAAGTAAACAAAAAGAAAAACCCAGAGCAAGTAGAAGGAAAGAAATAGTAAAGGTCAGAGCGGAAATAAATGACATAGAAACTAAAAAAGAAAAATTCAAAAGATTCTTTGAAAAGATAAACGAGATTGATGGGCCCTTAGCCAGACTCACCAAGAAACAAAAAGAGAGGACCCAAATAAAATCAGAAATGAGAGAGTGTGGGCCTGTGGTCCAGAGAGACCCGGATTCGGTTCCCACTAAGGGCATATACCTCGGTTGCAGTTTGTCCCTGGCCCTGGTTGGGTCATGCAGGAGGCAGCCACTCGATGTGTTTCTTTCTCATTGATGTTTCTCTCTCTCTCTCTCTCTCTCTCTCTCTCTCTCTCTCTCTCTCTCCCCCTCCCTCCCTTCCTCCCTCCCTCCCTCCCTCCCACTCTATCTGAACAAAAAATGGAAAAATGTCCTCGGGTGAGGACAAAAAAACAAAACAAACAAACAGATAAATAAATTTGGCAAAGTAGCAAGATACAAAATTAACATCAAGAAATCAACAGCATTCTTATACACCAATGATGAACTCACAGAAAGAGAAACTAAAAAAAATAAAATAAAATCCCATTTACCATTGCAGCAAAACAAAATTTAGATACCTAGGAATAAACTTAACCAAAGAAGTAAAGAATCTCTTCACAGAAAATTACAGGTCATTGAAAAAAGAAATAGAGGAAGATATAAAAAAGTGGAAGCATATACCATGTTCATGGATTGGAAGAATTAACATCGTTAAAATGTCCATACTACCCAAAGCAATCTATAGATTCAATGCAATCCCCGTCAAATACCAACTACATATTTCACAGAACTAGAAAAAATACTCCAAAAGTTTATATGGAACCAAAAAAGACCCTGAATAGCTACAGCAATCTTGAAAAAGAAGAACAAAGTAGGAGGGATCACAATACCAGATATCAGATTATACTACAAAGCCACTGTAATCAAAAAGGCCTGGTACTGGCACAAGAACAGGCATATAGATCAATGAAACAGAACAGAAACCCAGAAACTGACCCAAGACAATATGGTCAATTAATATTTGACAAAGGTGGCAAGAGCATGCAGTGGAGTAAAGATAGCCTCTTCAATAAATAGCGTTGGAAAATTGGACAGCTACATGCGAAAAAATGAAGTTAGACCACCAATTTACAGCATACACAAGAATAAACTCAAAATAGATAAAAGACATAAATGTGACTCGTAAATCCATAAAAATCCTAGAAGAAAATGTAGGCAACAAAATTTTAACCATCATGCCTTGGCTGGTTTGGTTCAGCAGTTAGAGCGTCGGCCTGCAGTCCAGAGAGACCCAGGTTCAGTTCCAGCTAAGGGCATGTACCTCCGGTGCAGTTTGTCCTCGGCTCTGGTTGGGCCGTGCGGGTCGCAGCCACTCGACATGTTCCTCTCATGTCGATGTTTCTCTCTCTCTCTCTTCCTCTCTCTCCCTCCTGCTGTATCTGAATAAAAAATGAAAAAATGTCTTCGAGTGAGGATTAAAAAAAATTTTTAGATATCACGCGGCAGAATTTTCACTGATACAACGCCTAAGGCAAGAGAAACAAAGGCCAAAACGAACACATGGGACTACATCAAACTAAAAAGTTTCTGCACAGCAAAAGAAACAACCATCAAAATGGAAAGGGAACCCACTGTATGGGAGAGCATAATTGCCAACGATACATCAGATAAGGGGTTACTTTCCAAAATATATAGAGTACTCATACAAGTCAACAAAAGGAAGACAAAGAACTCAATTAAAAAATGGGCAGAGAACCTAAATAGACACCTCTCCAAACAGAACATACAGATGGCCAAGAGACATATGAAAAAATGCTTAACCTCAGTAATCATCAGAGAGATGTAAATTAAAACAACAACGAGCCCTGGCCGGTTTGGCTCAGCGGTTAGAGCCTCGGCCTGAGGTCCAGAGAGATCCAGGTTCGGTTCCCGCTAAGGGCACATACCTCAGTTGCAGTTTGTCCCCGCCCCGTTGGGATCCTGTGGGTGGCAACAAGTCGATATGCCTCTCTCAAATCGATGTCTCTCTCTCTCTCTCTTCCTCCCTCTCTCCCTCCCGCTGTACCTGAAGTAAATGCAAAAAAAAAAAAAAAAAAAATGTCTGAGGATAAACAAACAAAAACAAAACAAAACATTGAGGTATCACCTCACACCTGCCAGAATGGCCACCATCAACAAATCATCAAACAACAAGTGTTGGTGAGGGTGTGGAGAAAAGGGGACTCTAGAACACTGCTGGTGGGAATGCAGACTGGTGCAGCCACTACAGAAAACACACTATGGTGTTACCTCAAAAAGTTAAAAATTGAACTGCCATTTGACCCAGTGATCCCACTTCTAGGAATATATCCTAAGAAGCCTGAAACACCAATCAGAAAGAATATATGTATCCCTATATTCATAGCAGCACTATATACAATTGCTAAGATCTGGCAACAGCCCAAGTGTCCATTAATAGAAGAGTGGATAAAAAAGCTGTGGTATATATACACAATGGAATACTATGCAGCTATAAGAAAGATCTCTTATCCTTTGAGAAGACATGGAGGGAATGGGAGAGTATTATCCTAAGCAAAACAAGCCAATCAGAGAAAGACAAATAGCACATGATCTCACTTATTTGTGGACTATAATGAACAAAACAAACTGATGAACAAAATAGACCCAGAGACATAGAAGTAGGGTACAGACTGACAAACCTCAGAAGAGGAGGTAGGTGGGGGAGGGAAGAGATAAACCACAGAACTTATATGCATGTATGCTATGCGTAACCATGGACATAGACAACAATGCTGGGAGGAGGGGCGGGGATCTGAAGAAGGGTGTCAGTGTGTGTGTGTGTGTGTGGGGGGGACATTGGTAACAAAAATAAATTAATTTTAAAAATATATACTATAATAAAATAAAATATAATAAATAAATAAACCTTAGACCAGAGGTCAGGGATATGTTTTGTCTGGCCCATACATTGTGTTTGGGTTTTAATTTTTTTAAATGATTGCTGTGGTGTGCCAAGGACGAGAATGGCAGGAGAGATCCTGACCCTCTAGTTGCAGGCAATTAGAGGGTATTATCTGTAGAGAATTTTAAAAAATACCTACTAAAAATCAGTTTCCTTTTTATTACCACCATGGGCCAATAAAAAGCTGTCAATGATAAAGTATTCATCTCTGAAAAATCTTTTCTAGGTCTAAATGCTACATTGTTGTGGTTACTGATGAGCTTTAATAATATACAAGCCTCAAATTAGCACATTTGTATTACTTATCCCTTTAAAAACAATGTTGGGGGAGAGCAGAAGGGAGGTGGGAGCGGGGAGGAGGGAGTCAATGGAGGAAGAAGTGGGAGACATTTGTAATACTTTCAACAATAAAGATTAAAAAACAAACACACAAACAGAAAATATTGTAATCTACATGAAATTTAATCTAAAGAACTCCCAATTATACAAGTGGCCTCTGACATAAGCAGATTCATCTGTGTGTTTATATCTAAAATTAGTTCTTAACAGTTTGGAGTTCGAGTCTGCTTTGGACACAATCTCTGTCTCCAACTCCTATGTGATAATACATATTCCTTTACTTAATTCATGGATTTATAGTAAACAATCATAGCACAATGATTGGAAAGTCAGAGAAATTGAACTTGAATTACTTTAATTATGTCATTTTAGGTGACCGCTCAGATTTTTTATTTATAGTAAAAATTTCTAGAATTAATTGTGAAGTGGAATTTTGATGAATTTCTTTATGAAAGAAACTTTTCAAAGATTTTTAAGTTGGTGTTTAAGGAGAAAGGGAGAGAGAAGGAAACACCGATGTGTTAAAAGATTAACGTCGAATGAAGGAGAACAATGGGAACTGAAGCCTGCCACTTTATAAAATGCAGCCGCGCTGAGAATGAGCCCCGTGTGGTTGGTGCGCGCCGGGGCGCACTGCCTGCGTAACTAGAGGAGGTGACGGATGCCTGCCCCACCACACGCCGCTCGGCTCCCCTGCAAGGACAGGATCGCTTCTTAGCGGCTTTAACAGTGAGAAGCGGGGCAGGTCTACGTGCATGCGCACGTGGCACTCTCTGCCGGGAGGTCCGGGGACTTTCCCCTAGGCGTAAATAAGGAACTAAGTCCTCCGGCTGTAGCCTAGGTGACAGGCCTTCAGCACCGACTATGTGAATTTCTGTACGCCCATCCTTTTATAGATCCGTCAGAAAACTTATCTTTCGGTTAGGGTGAAAAGATTGCTGGGTCAAGAAATAAAAATAACTCTCTGGCCTACTTTCCGAAGATTTCTGGAGGCAATCTGGCTAATATAAAATACCTAAATAGATAAGAAATTAACTAATTTAGGAAAGCTGGGCCAACGGCCTATGCAAATACGTGGTCCCGCCCACACACGAAGTTGGGCGTGGCTTTCTGGGGAGGGCCGAAGCGTGGCCGGCTTGCCTACGCATGAGCACTGGGGCGCTCCGCGGACTCCGGCGCCGCTGGGTCCTTTAGTCTGTCCGCTTACAATGGCGAGTGCAGTCTCGCCCGCGGGTGTACTGGGGTTGCTACTTGCGTCTGCGCTTCCTGGGGTCCTCGGAGACGGCCCCAGCCCCGACCGCCGGGCATACCCAGGTACCAGCGAGGGCTGCTGGGGGAGGCTGGGACTGCCCAGGGTCCCAGGTACCAGCTTATTGATCCTCCTCTGCCCTCCTCCGCAGGGGACCGCACCCAGGTGGGCCCTAGGGCCATAGAACACTGGCAGCGGCCGCCACCAAAGGTCCAGCAGGAGCAGGCCCGGGCGTTGCCTTTGGGGGCGCTGTACACCGCGGCAGTCGTGGCTTTTGTGCTATATAAATGCTTGCAGGTGCGTGAAGAACAGGGGTGGGGATGCCCTGGGCCTGTATTTCCCATGGGGGCATTATGGTACCAAGAACAAGAGACATCTTGCGGTCCGTCTATGAAATGAACAGTATAGCTCCTTGGCTTTCCAACATCATGCGGTTATTTTGAGCATCCAGCGAGGTAATGGATGTGAAAGTGCTTGGTAAATTGTAAATAATGAACATCACATTTAACCTTCCCAACAATCCCATGAAGAGATTAAGTCAGTTGCTCAAGGCCAGAGCTAGTCACTGGTGGAGCTGATATTTGAACCCAGCAAGTGTCCATACAACAGTAGTGGAGTTCTTGGTAAGATTCCAACCTTGGCACAAGAGGTTGATTACTGTAGTCAATGTTTGAGTTCAAGGTACCAAGCAGGCTCATGTTCTTGGGAAGGAGGGCGTGAAATATGAACTGGCAGTACATTTTTGAGGATTGAAACTGTTGAAATGGGAAGTAGTACCTCCCAAGGGCTGTATCTTCAGCCCTGGCCATATCACTCAATTGCACTGGGAAATAGAAGACTGAACCAATTTGGATATGAGGTAAAACTAAAAGGGATAGCTGATCATGACCCCAAATAGAATTGACAGGCTAGGATAAAGGAGTAAATTTAATGATGAAAATTTAACAGGGATAATTCTATTCTTGGACCCAAGTATAGTCTGAAAGAAACATAACAGCAGCAGTTTATTAGTTGACTAATAAAGTTCAACTGTGTGGCCCTGGCTGGTTTGGCTTAGCCGTTGGAGCGTTGGCCTGCGGACCAGAGAGTCCTGGGTTTGGTTCCCACTAGGGGCACGTACCAAAAAACAAAAACAAAAAAATAAAGTTCATCTGTGTGATGTAACAACCCATTTCCCAAATAAATACTAGTAGTAACAAAATATCATGCTTCAACTTCTGATCAGAACACTCCTGGAGAATTTTATTCTCTTCAGGGCACTACTTTAAGAGCACAAGCTCAGTAAAGCGACCAGAGAAAACTGTCAAATGAGCAGACTGAAAAAGGTTGATGATATTAAACCAGAGATGTGTGGGGGTAGGTGGGGTGACCATTGTTTTCAAATTCCTGAGGGGCTATCATGTTGAAAAGACATTATTTTGGAAGGCTTTAATCAGCACAATGAAAAGAAGATACATGAAGGACAATTTTTGGCTTTGTATATAAACTAACGACCAGAGCTTTATCATAAGGAGGGAGCTGCTCTTTTCTTGGAAGGTGTTACAGTAGATTGAATGACCACTTAAGGGCATAGTGACAGATTGCTTCATTTCCTGGGTCAGGAGCTGAACTAGATGTGATTGTGATTCTCTAAGGTAAAAATCCAGGTTTTCTCTACCTCAAATGATCCTCCTCCTCCTCTTACTGGCTTTGGAGATAAGTGATGGGGAACCTTGCTGCCGCAGTATAGCCCTTTCTTTCTTCTACAGCAGAGGAAAGATGAGGCTGCTGTTCTCCAAGAGGAGGCAGACAAGAAGGAATCATTGCAGTCAGGTGGGTTTTGCAGAAGTCTGTGTTTGGTGGGGAATTAAAGGACAGCAGAAGGTAACCATTGCTGTCCTTTTCTCCTTTACCTCCAGAGCAACAGCTGGCCCAGTTGACAAAACAGCTGGCCCAGACAGAACAACACCTGAACATTCTAATGGCCCAGCTGGACCCCCTTTTTGAGCGGTAAGGAGAGCAATATGTGGCAGGTGAGAAGTGGGGACATAGATTGGGCAGCCTCTGAGTGGACATATCTGCAGTGTGACTACCCTGGCTGGAGCACAGCAGGAACTTCTAAACATGAAGTTACATACCATCCACCAGCTGCTACAAAAGAACAAGCTAAACAAGGGTGTGGAGGTTCCTGAATCAGGTAACAGGCTGGGGTTGAGTCTGGTGGAGGTAGAGACAATGTATCTGAAACTGCAACATGCCTGTCTTCCCCTCACAGAAGCCAGCATACCCTTTCCTGAGGACTTATGTATAGAGGAAGACGAGGAGGCTGGTGACAGTCAGGCCTGGGAAGAGCCCCTAAACTGGAGCACAGAGACAAGGGACCTAGCTACTCCTTGGGGAATGGAGCAGGGGCTAAGGAGAAGATGCAGCAAGCCTGCTGCAAAGGGCCCCTGTCACAGTCCCCTCTGCGAAGGAGGGACAACGGCTGAAGGTTTAGTAAAACAAAGTCTGTTCTTGTGACTGGATGCTCCTGTGTGCCTTTTTCATTCCAGCTGGTCACACACACACCCATACTAGGTGCCTAAGAGCAACTGGCCCTTCTTGAAAAGCTTCCCTTATTAGGACAAAAAGATGCTGCCTTTCAGTGTGAGAGCTGAGAAGACAGAGGGCGCTCCAGTTCTTTTCCTTGTATTCCTGAGGCCCGCTGTCATGCCAGCCTTCAGGGCACAAAAATCCCACTTGTCCTATCACATAGCTGAAACAAAAAAGTCTTTCAAAAGAACACAAAACTTTACTTAAATCCATTGGGAAAATAAAACTATAAAAATAGCTACATTTGCAAAGCCACAATCTTGATAAACAACTGGTCATAGATACAGCACCACCTTGCTCATCAGCCCCAAATCCCCTCATGTGTGCTGGAGGGGACTGGTTCAGCGGAGATTCAAATGGGTCAGACTTAGTTTCCTTATCCTTAAAAGCTGGTCAAATAACCCAGTCCCAGGCAAACACAAAATGACCCTTCTCACACCATAAGGTGTTCTGTTTTGCTTAGTTTTGTGCTCCTGACCCTAACCTATCCCTGAAGTATCCTGGTTCTGGAATTTGTAAGATTCTTCTAGTTCTTCTGGCTGCTGTGGAGAGAAGACAGTCGGTTAAGGCATTGGCATGAGCACTCTATTTAGATAAAATCACCCACAGGGTAGGGGTGAGGGTGGGGGATCCTAGACAGATGTAAGACATGACAGGATCAGAACTCATCTCCAGCTCCTGGGCCTCATTACAACACTCTTACCAAGACACAACTTACCTGATAGCCAAAGTCAGACTGTGGTACCAGCGTAACAGCTCCTCCTGGTCTGTGGACATAAGCAGTAGCTTCTCATGGGGAAATGACAGCTAGGGAGAGACCACCTCTTACTGCATGGCTCAGGTAGGGCCAGGCTAAAGCTGAAGGCCTTGCTGCTCCCGTGGAGCTCATTCAGGACTGAGGTGAGAACTAGGTATGAACCCCGAGACCCAGTTATTCTCTCTCAATGTAGATGGCTCATTTCCTATGAATGGGACACAGGCCAATGAGGTAAACAGGTGCATAGGTATTTAAGTTCTATGTTGGGCCTCTCCTACCTTACCTAGGACTCCTATTTTATTACTTACGCTGAGCAGTCCCCCACAAGGGCCTCCCGAGTGGCCAAAGACCCTGTGGAGTTGACACTGGGCCATGGGGTAGAGGGCCCGGCAGGCAAAGGTGCCACTCTGCAGCAGGCACAATGGGGGCCGGGGCTTGGCCATGAGAAGCACGTCAGAGAACAGGAAGAACATCCGGGGCCGAGGTTTCCCACGGGGAGGCACCACCAACAACCAGCCCTGGTGTAGGAACCAGCGACCTGGGGATGGGAGAGCTGTTATTCTGATGCAGCTCCAGGACCATGATCCATGGGAATAGAAGGAAAGGGAGGCTCAGGAAATGGGGGGGTATATGCTGACAATATAGAGGAAGAGGGGTGAGAGGAGGTACTAAGACTACCTGAGGTTAGCCCCTTTGCCTGTCGTCCACTGAGAAGAGCCTGGACACGCCGGAGGTGCTGGTCATTCTTCTGTTTCTGACCAATGGTGTGGACTCTCTGGGAGGTCTCACTTATCAGCCGAGCAGCCCCTGGAATAACATCCCCAATGCCATCCCCAGCACATCTTTGACTCTGGGGACCAGTGGTGGAGAAAGACAAGCTATTCACAAGGGGACCAAGGTTAGGGTCTAACTTCTTGAAGAGTAGGCAGGACAATAGGGACATCATGTACATGTCAAAGGAAGATAGGGTCATACCAGACATTGTTGGAAGTCACAACCAGAAAGGGATACAAGAAAGGCAGCCTTCTGCCTGAGTTTTGGCAGAGCCAAGAACATACGTGTGAGCTGTTGGTGATCAGGACTATTGGGATTTGTGTTTTCAGCCAAAGCTACCACGAGATTCTCATACCTAGAATTAGATAGTTGGAAATATATGAGGGGAAGTAGAGCTGGGAAAAATTCCCTCTACCTGACACACACATAACCCCCTACATATACTTCCATTACAAAGCCAGGAAAGATCTGCTTCTGGCTAGCATATCCTCTTTTCTCTGGGCTCACACCACACGGCCCTTTCCCATCCCACACTGAAGAGTCAGGGGCACACTCTTCAGAAATTGTAAGCTGGCCAGCCTCTCCTCTCAGCAAACTTCCAAATGCTGTGTCACTAGCTCTATTACAAGCCCCCTCACTTCAGTGTAGAGTTCTACAGTCCCAGCTAAGGGCCCTGAGGCTGCAGACTCCAGGTACTCCAGTGGGTTCACATTTACTCTTGCAAAAAGGATTTTAGGAGCAATTTGTCCCATGAGAGGCATTGGGACAGACCCCATGGAATCCCACAAAAATGAGGGACTCAGAAATGAGAAGTTGGCTGAATCAGGGTGAATTCACTCACTGCTGAAGCCTCTGCAGAGGCAAAGGGAGCAGGTCCTGGAGCTGAAGGCCCCCAAACTCAGGGCGGCCTTCCTGAAGCCTGATGAATCTCCTGAAACGTTTGCTTTTCTTTAGTTGTTCCTGGAGTGAGGGGGAATGGGTTGGTAGCAGAGAGAGAAGCCACTCCTTAAACTGTATTCACCTGTGTACACATCCCCAGTCCTCAGTAAGCTATGTGCTCCTGAGTGAACCCCCGATTCCCCATAGGGAACTTAGCACAGACTGGGCACCCAGAGGGCTCTGTAAATGCAGGAACAGTATGAATAAATATTGGCTCTCTAGATGAAAAGGAAAATGTATGGGGCGAGAGAGGAAGGACTTGAGGTCATGTTCAAGTTACCTGCAGGGTGGTCTGGGACCTCTCTGCGTTGGCAGCAAATTGGGTGTAGAGCTCCAGGTGGGGACAGAAGCCCTCCAGCCCCTGTCCCCAGTGCCCTCCTTCCAAGTAGGTAAGCAGCTCTCTGCGTGGGTGAGGACAATTAAAAGAGCTGCCAAAGAACTGCTCAAGCATCACATTTAATTCTTTTAACCCTATCTCAGCGGTAGGGTTAACAGATGGAGAACTGGGGCACTGGTCAAGACCACAGGTGAGGTCATTGGCAGACTGAGAATATGAACCTGCATCTCTCGGACTCCGAGTCCCGTGCACTGCCAGAAGCTGAGGCTCTCCCTCCTTCCCCCTCCCCATGCCCCTTCCACTCACTGACTGGCGCCGTAAATGAGCTCCCATGGCCCAAACAGGGCCTGGCGCTCTGGTGGTCGCAGGGTGCCCTTGGCTCTCAGAATCCCCACGAAGTACTGCGGAAGGAGAGAACACCGGTATATCGTGCGCAAGCAGAGGCCAACGCCAAGGCGTAGCTAGACTCTGTAGCAGTCTGTCCAGCCTCCAAATGCAAGAGGACACAGCAAGACCCCCGTACTGGGGATCACCGACCTCGCTGACCCTCCCACACCATGGGGTCACCGCCTCATAAGAGAGGGCGTGTGGGGCCCCCACCGTGGCCACCAGCCCCAGCTGTTCCTGGTAGCGCCGCTCGGTCTCCAGCAGCTCCCGGGCGGTGCAGGCGCGTTTCCGCTCCCAACGGGCACGCTGCTCTTGCAGCGGGCACCGAGGCCTGGGAGCCGGGCTCCCCATGCCTAGTTGAACTGCCCACATTTCCGGCCACAGGCCGCGGGAGATTCAAATGCTAACTGCTCCGGGGGCGGGGCAGCGTAGAGGAAGGAGCTCGCCCCCTGGCGCCGGGAGGCTACGCGCAGGACTGAGCCTGTTAACCAGCGCCTGGTTTCCTCCGCGGCCTCGCCCCACCGCCAGGGCGGCGCCGTAGGTGCGTGACGCCGGCTGCGGTGGGGCCGAATGGGGCAAGTGGGTGGTCCTCTTCCGAGCAGCACTCAATTGGGGCAGCAGCCTAGACTCTGAGTCAGCAGACCTGAGGGTGCACACACTGGCAGGGCCTCAGTGTCCCATCTGTAGAACTGGGAAAGCTCAATAGTTACAATGCATATTCTGTACTGAGCCCATGCCAGAAGCTGGGCTTCAGCTGTTCCCAACGCTTCTTTACAATTAGGAACTCTCACGGGTCACAAAGTTTGAAATATTTTTGCCCCTGGACAAAAGTTTATAGGTGTTAAGTTACTAACTCGTTTTCTCATTCCAAAATCTGACAGCCAATTAGCTTCTAGTCAGCAGGTGTCACTAACTAACACAGTGGTTCAAAATTGCTTAATTACGGCCAAAGGCAAAAGCTTGCAGTTGATTAGTCTGTGATACCTAGTCAAAGACAATATGTACCAGATTTTCCTTATTTACTTCTTTTGAAAAATTGGCAGTAACCCTGGAGGGTAAATTGACAGTGCCATTTTGTCAGTATATATGAGAAATCTTACAATGTGCCTACTCTCATGACCTAGCAGTTCTAATTCTAAGAATACATTCTAAAGAAACAAATATGTGTTGCCTAGCCGGTGTGGCTCGGTGGTTGAGCATTCGACCTATGCACCAGGAGGTCGCCAGTTCCATTCAGTTCAGGGCACATGCCCTGGTTGTGGGCCGAATTCCCAGTGGGGGGCATGCAGGAGGTGGCCAGTCCATGTTCTCTCTTATGGATGTTTCTCTCTCTCTCTCCCTCTTCCTTCCTCTCTATCTAAAATCAATCAATAAATAAAAATTGTAAAAAACAAAAACAAAAAACATATATGTGGGCAAAAATATATGTACCAGGATGTGTGGCACAACATTGTTTGTAACAACAGAAAATTGGAAACTGCCTAAATGTCCAAAGATAGTAAATTGACTAGGAAAATGGTGCAGCCTTTTGAAGGAATAATATGAAAACATTAAAATTATGTTAAAAAGCTCTCAATATGGACAAAGGTACATAGTGTATTGCCGAGAGACAAAAAAGCAGAATACACAATTGTTTGCACAATATAATTCCATTTATGTATAATATATATGCCTAGAAGGTAATTTTGGTTTTTATCTTGGGGTGATGAGATTGCGAACAATTCATTCCACAAATATTTAAGTACCTAATCAGTGCCAGGCACTGGATCATTAAGGTAAAGGGGTGAATAGGACAAAAAGGGTGATTTTAGCCCTGGCTAGTTTGGCTCAGTGGTTGGATTGTTGGCTGGCAGACCAAAGAGTCGGAGGTTTGATTCTGGTCAAGGGCATATACCTCAGATGCGATTCAATCTCCAGCCCTGGTCGGAGTTGGGGTCCTGTGGGAGGCAACCCATCGATCTCTTGATCTTTCTCTCTATCTCTCCCCCCGCTCCCACTCTATCTGAAAATCAATGGAAAGATATCCTTGGGTGAGGATTAAGAAAAAATTGATTTTAAAAAGTCCCTTATACTTTTCTGCCTTTCCCAAGTTTCTGCTTAAGCATGCGTGCATTACTTTGTAATTAGAAAAAAATACTATTAAAAACTAAAGTTTTAGTAGACTTTAGACCCCATTCCTACCACTCTGGACTCCCAGGAATCTGGGTCCCAGGCCAAGAACTAAGGTACTGTCAGGGATCTGAGGTCCCCTCTAACTCTCTGACATTCTAAGAATCCTGAGAAAAGAGAAATGCTGGACTTAAATCAGGAAGAAACCATTTGAAGAGCTGGGTGGAAGAAAGAGATAGTTTGGGTCAGACTGTTCCTTGGATTCGGGTCCCAAGGAACTGGTGATACCATATAGTGGGAGGACTGGTTACCATCTCAAAAGAATGTGGGACAGTTTGCACTAAGAGCTCAAGTGAGGGAGAGGACAGATAATCCCATGGTAATCGGTATCACCATGAGCCCATAAGGCTTCTTGGAAAGTAACAAGGTGATGAGAACAGAGCACAGCACCTGGGGTGCAGTGGTGATGGGTGTGTTGGGTGTGCTGCCAGTGTGTGAGTGTGCTTTATAGAGCCTACTGTGAACTTGATGGGGAATCATCCAACTGTGGAGGAAGGAGGAGGAAAAGCTGAGAAGATACTGAGGATAATTGGAGACAACTGATTTCCTGGGGACCAAGTCTCCCACAAAGCAAGTGAAGTACACCCCATAGTCTACTGGAAATAAACAGACTCTCTACTCCCAACTCTACCCCCAAAGCCGAAGGAAGGAGGGACCAGTGGGAGAGGATCAGAGGGAAGTCACAACCTCTCTAGCCTTTGATTACCTGCAACCTCTGCTTTCCACTCGCTGGATGCTGGAGAAGCCCTAGGAATGCTTTGAATAACAATTATCAGTTATTCCACAAAAGTTAAATGCTTCTTATATACCACGTCTTGTGCTAGGCATGGAGATGAAATAGTGGATAATGAAATATGGCCCCTGCCTTTATGGATGCTTATAATCCAGCATGGTAGACATGGTAAGGTGTCACTATAAAGTGATATAAACATTACAAGGGACATATAGGCTTCTATGCAGACAAGAGTGACCCCTTCTAGGAGTTAGGGAAGGCTTCTTGGAGAAAGTAACAATGTGAACTGATACCTGAAAGATGAACAAAACCTGGTGGGGTAGGGTTGTCAGTGGGGGAGAGGTGAGCAAAAGAGACAAATAGCGCCCTGGCCGGTTTGGCTCAGCGGTTGGAGCATTGGCCTGCGGACTGGAGAGACCCGGGTTCGGTTCCCGCTAGGGCCACATACCAAAAGGAAAAAAAAAAAAAGAGACAAATAGCATAAACAGAGTTTGGAGATCACACACACAGTGCATTCAAGGAACTGCTAGAAGTTAAGATTAGAGCATAGATTGCAAAGAAGAGAGTGATGAGAAAGGAGACTGGAGAAACAGACAGAGTCTAAGCCATGGAGGGAATTTATTCCAGTAAGGCTATGTTACAAGTAATAATAAATTCAAAGTGGCTAAACAATAAGATATTTTATTGCCTTATGCAACTGGAAAGTCCAGATGCAGGTAGGCCATAGGGTTAGCTTAATCCAGCAACCCAATCATATCACTAAATATGTGGGGACGTTCATTAGGCAGGTAGTTACAGATCTGACGTGGAGAAGAGAGTCCAACCTGGGGATACTTGGCTGTCATGAACTTGCAGAAACCATGGAAGTGAATGAAACTGCCTACAAAGAATATGACGAGAGATAAGGGAGACGGCATGAGACTCGCCAACACAAACCCATTTCTCTCCTTCTATGTATCCATTTCAGTTCTAAAATGGCTAATGTCATGTGGGCTAAATTGTGGTCCCCATAAAGATATGTCCATACCCCAACACCTGCAACCTGTGAATAAGAACTCATTTGGGTCCAGCCAGTGTGGCTCAGTGGTTGAGTGTCGACCCATGCATCAAGAGGTCACGGTTTGATTCCTAGTCAGGGCACATGCCCAGGTTGTGGGCCTGATCCCCAGAGGGGGCGGGGGGAGGGGCATGCAGGAGGTGGCCAATTGATGTTCTCTCTCATCGATGTTTCTATAATTTTCTTCCTCTCACTTCCTCTCTAAAATCAACAAAGGAAAAAAAAATTTTTTAAAAAAGAACTTATTTGGAAAAACAGTCTTTGCAGATGTAATTAAGCTAAAAATCTTGAAATAAGATCATTCTGAGTTATCCTGGTGGGCTCTATCCAATGACATGTTCCTAAAAGAGACGCCCAGTGGAGAGTCAGGAACAAGAGGAGAAGTCCATGTTAAATTGAGGCAGGAACCGGAGTCATGCAGCCACAACCAAGGAATGCCTGGAGCTGCTAGAAGCTAGAAGAGGCTCTACAGCCTTCAGAAGGAGCAGAGCCCTGCCAACACCTTGATTTCAGATTTCTAGCTTCCAGAACTATTAGAGAAAGATATTCTATTGTTCTAAACCACCCAGGTTGTTATAGAAGTCCTATGAAATTAACACAGATAGTGAGATGGTCCAGAACTACAGGCCAGCCTCAAGGCTCCAGAAAGGCTTTGATCAGTCTTTGCTTCCAATCTCTGGCTGGGGAGTAGGAGGCTTTTTCTCCTCCTCCCACCAGCAAATAGCTCCCTCCTCTGCTACCTTGGGATAGAAACAGATCCTAATGACCAAAGACTTGGCCTTAAAGTTGTGTGCCAGGTGGGGGGTGCCCCAGTCAATCAGTCCTGAGTACACTCTGTCCCAACCTGAGGAGGTTCAGGGAACAAGACTGGAAGCTCAAACCTGTTTTGGGGTTTGGCAGACTCCCAGCTGTGAAGGTATGATTCTGGGTCAGAGTCCACATTCCCCACCCAGACCTAAGACACAGTCGCACACAGAGACAGAGAAGTCAAGAAAGAGGCAACACCATGCAGAATGGCATTTGGAAAATTAGGGAGCTATAACAAAGAGAGATCTGCCCCTAGCAGACATAGGTCTGGACTCTGAAATACTGAAAGAAAGCAGCAGAGAGGCAGGGAGATGTGTGGACACATAGAATGGCACGGAGAAGTATATAGGGAAATCTTGACAGAGACTTAAAAAGGAAAAAGATAGAAATATTCAGAATATTTGGAAAGAGAGAAAATGAAATAAAGTCAGGATTGGTGTTGGAGAAAGATGTCCAGACATAAGGACTCCAGGCTCCAGTTGGCACGGTGTTTCTGTCTCCTGTGCTTCCCATAACCTCTTTCACCTCAGCTACATTGCTTGTTACCACATTCTGTCTTGTCCAGGTCCATTCAATTTAGTTATTACCATGGACCTTCCATGTGTCAGCGTCTAACCAACTTGCTGACAACACAGCTGACCAAGACAGTGAGCTGACCATCCAGAGTGCACACTGGATCACTTTGCCATGGATGAATGGCTCTTAATTTGACTCCAGAAATGGCAACCTAGATGGTTAAGCTAATTACCTTCCAAAATGACTGTTTCGAGGACAGCCATTGTTTGGCCATATAAGTTTTTGGTATATAGTAGGGCTGTCACTCTGACAAGGCAAATATTTGAGGTGCCATAAAAATGTGATGTCATACCCTGGCCGGTTTGGCTCAGCGGTTGGAGCATCGGCCTGCAGACCAGAGAGTGCTGGGTTCAGTTCCCGCTAGGGGCATGTACCAAATAAAATAATAATAATAATAAAATAATTTTTAAAAATGAAAGGAAAAAAAAAGTCAGTTTAGTCAATTTGGTTTTTCTTAAGTCCAGGCAAGGTGATCTGCACAGACAAAGAAAATACTCAATAATGGTTGTTGAATAAAAGAATGACTCAATCAATCAAATATTGGACCCTGCTCTTATGGAGCTCAAGGCTATTAGACTAAGATAAAATGTCATAAATCATCCTAATATGAATTAGATGGTGGGCAAGGTTATTAACGAGGGCAAAGCAAAGCACTGTGGTGGCTGAGGCATCAGAAATCTCTTCATATGGTGCAGTTAATCAAGAAAGACTTCTTGGCCCTGGCCGGTTTGGCTCAGCGGTTGGAGCGTCGGCCTGCGGTACAGAGAGACCCGGGTTCGGTTCCCGCTAAGGGCACGTACCTCGGTTGCAGTTTGTCCCGGGCCCCGGTTGGTCGTACGGGTGGCAGCCACTCGATGTGTCCCTTCACATCGATGTTTCTCTCTCTCTCTCTCTTACTCTCCCTCCCTCCTGCTCTATCTGAACAAAAAATGGAAAAATGTCCTCGGGTGAGGATAAAAAAAAAGAAAAAAAGAAAGACTTCCTGGCCTGGCTAGCGTGGCTCAGTGGTTGAGCATTGACCCATGCACCAGGAGGTTGCTGGTTCAATTCCTGGTTGGGCACAAGCCCAGGTTGAGAGCCCGATCCCCAGTGGGGGGCATGCAGGGGGTGAACAGTTGATGTTCTCTCTCATCAATGTTTCTATCTCTCTCCCTCTCCCTTCCTTTCTCTCTAAAAGCAATAAAGAGAGAGAGAGAAAAAAGAAAGACTTCCTGGATGAAGTGGCCTTTAAGCAGAGTCTTGAATAATAGAAGGGATTTAGACAGGGGGGACAGTAAAACTATTTAACATGGTAGTGGGTGCACAAGCACTGATCCATCAGAGTGGAAGCTGACTGAGGCATTCAAGTGGGGTTCTGGATCTCTTCTGTGATAAGGAGGTCAGGAGAGTCCCCAGGAAGGAGCTGGGGTATCATGAGCATACAGATTAACTTGTTTAAAAATTATTTAAAAAATCAATGGAGCCCAGCAGGTGTGGCTCAGTGGATTGAGCATAATCCCATGCACTGAGAGTTCCTCGTTTGATTCCCAGTCAGGGCATCAGGGCACATGCCTGGGGTTACAGCCTCAATCTCCAGTAGGGGGAGTGCAGGAGGCAGGCAATCAATGTTTCACTCTCACATCAATGTTTCTCTCTTTCTCTCTCTCCCCCCCCTTCCTATCTCTCTAAAATCATCAATTGAAAAAAAGAAAATGAATGACAGGCATTCCTGGCAGTGAGAACTGGATGAATGAAGGTGGTCAAAGGTTTAGAGGAAAATGAATAGTTTAATTTGGCTGGAGTGTGAGGGACAGTAGGAAGAGATAAGATGGGTCTCTTGGGTAAGATTTTGAAGGGATATGAAAGTCAACTAGAGGAAGAAGATGGGCAGATGGAAGATATTTTGGTAGATAGTGGGAAGTCAGTGAACGTTTTTGAGCAGAAGTGTAATATAATGAAAAATAAGTTTATTTATTTATTTTTAATTTTTTTCCTTTATTGATTTCAGAGAGAGAGGAAGTGAGAGGGAGAGAGAGATAGAAACATCGATGAGAGAGAACATTGATTGGCTGCCTGCCTCCTGCATGCCCCCCACTGGGGATTGGGCCCACAACCTGGGCATGTGTCCTGACCGGGAATCAAACCGGCGACCTCCTGGTGCATGGGTCAATGCTCAACCACTAAGCTACACCAACCGGACAGAAAATAAGTTTAGTTTAAACCAGTCAGAGTCCCTCTCATACGTATACTCAGTTTTCCACTCATACTCAAATTCACCTCCCACCTACTCATCCACCCTCCTCCCTGAGCTCCTGCGGCAGCTTGCCCTACTCCTGTACCTGCTCCCTGGCTGGGCAGGGGATGTACACATGGGCTGCTCCCCTCTCAGCCAGAGGTTATGGGGGCCCCAGCTCCCTGTCTTTCCCCTTCCCTGCCTGAGGTTGGGAAGCACGCCAGGGTTAGCTGAGGCTGGCTGGCAGGCAGCTGGGTGGTGCCAGAGAAAGCCTATGCACTGCCAGGTGGTGCCTTGGGTTCCAAGCTGAGCCCATAACCCCGATAACCTTGTGCCTGCACACACAGCTGCCCTCACTCCACCCCAATCCAGGCTATGGTATCGGGTAGGGGGCACAGGGCCAGGCAGACCCGAGGGACTTTGGCTCCATCTCTACAAAAGGGCATTCTGTGAGTCAGCCTGCTCCCCTCCAAGCTTGCTCCTCCCCCACCCAGCTCCAGTTTCTGATGCACGCACGTACAGCCCGTACACCGTGTCTGGGACAACCTACAGTCCGCCACATGGCTCCTCTGTGCCCCAGCCCCTGGCTTCCTCTGTTGATCTCAGCCCCTGCTCCAGGCCCCACTGTGCAACTGCTGCTGTTACTGCTGCTTTTGGTACCTGCCCATCCCCAGAGCTTATCCCAGATGCAGGGGACCCCCTCCATGGGAGGGGATTCATCTGGGGAAGATGATCCTCTGGGTGAGGAGGACCTGCCCAGTGAAGAGGATCTAATTGGAGAGGAGGATCCACCTGGAACGAAGACTGAAACAGGAGAAAAGGACTCTCTGGAGTTAGAGGATCTACCCACTGTTGAGCCTCCCATGGATAATGCTCAAAGGAACAAAGGTAAGCAGTCGTCAGCCCTCCAAACCTAGGCTCCAGGAGGTTTGTATCTCCTCTCACTAAACTCCAGCCCAGACAGGAATTATTCAAGGAAGGAGAGGAGCCTGTACTCTGAGAGTAGCCTTTCCCTACCCCAGGGTCTCCTGTGATACCAGACCCTTCCCCCCTTTCAGAGCTAAAAGGGGACAGATGGGGAAACAAAAATGGGGCACAGATGGAGAGAGATGAGTAGGAACAGTGGGAAAGAAAGGGAAAGGTTGAAGAGGAGAAGGAAATTAGTAACATGAAGAGAGAGAATGTAGGTAGAGAGAAGTAACAGCATGAGGGAAGTGAAGAGGAAAGATGTGGTAGCAGAGAAAGAGCAGGGAGGGCTTGTCAGATCACCTCCCAGTTTAGAGGTGAAGAAACAGACCTAGGAAGAAGGAAATAGCCAGTAGGGGGCCCTGATATCTTGACTCCCAAGCCAGGAACTTTGGGGGAAAGAGTTAGAGACCAGAAAAGGAAGAGGGATGAGTGGGGAGCAGGAATAGGTAAGAGAGAAAGGAAAGATGCTCTACTGATTTGGGCCTGGGGACTGAGGGTCCCCCCCCCCCACACACACACACACATACACACATTTTACTAGCACGGTGGTTGCAAACTGGTATCTCCAGGGCCAGTAGGATCTCCGTGTGTGGTTATGTTTAGCTGCACTCTATTGTGCTTTACACCTGGTCGGCTTTGCCCTTGTAAGGCATCTGAGTTTGTGAAGCCTTGCTAGTGATGGGGGCCCACGTCTGGCCACGGGGGAGGGTCTGGGCTCAAAGATCAGACTCCTAACTCTTCTCATTTATGCAGGACATGACCACAGTCATTGGCGCTACGGAGGTGAGACAACCACCCCCGGCACAGACCCAATCTGAGCACCCAGCTCTGCTGATCTGCCCCCCCGACCACCCCTGTACTCTAGTCCTGGACGCCCCACCCACCCCACCGCATCCACATCTGCTTGTCCTCGACAATGCCCGCTACCCGTCTCTGTGCATACCCCAGATTCCTGTCTCCCGCCCCAGTGTCTTTAGACTTCACCTCTTCACATTTTCTGTGCCAGGTCTCTAAAAGTCCCTAATTGTATTAACTTCCTATTCATACCCTCCTACCACAGGCGACCCGCCCTGGCCCCAGGTGTCCCCAGCCTGCGCAGACCGCTTCCAGTCCCCCGTGGATATCCGTCCCGAGCTCACCACTTTTTGCCCCGCCCTACGACCCTTGCAGCTCCTCGGCTTTGAGCTCCCGCCACTCCCAAAGCTGCGCCTCAACAACAATGGCCACACTGGTGAGGCAGTCCCGGGGCGGAGCCTCAGGGAAGGGGCGGAGGCTACCTGGGGACCGGACGGGGCCTGGGGAAGAGGGAGAGTTCCCGAGGTGCTTGGGGATTAGGCTGGCTCTTAGGGGCGGGGCAGGGGCCGGCTCACCTGCTCTCCCTCCGCAGTGCAGCTGACTCTGCCTCCTGGGCTGGAGATGGCCCTGGGTCCAGGACGGGAGTACCGGGCCCTGCAGTTGCATCTGCACTGGGGGTCTGCGGGTCGCCCAGGCTCGGAGCACACGGTTGGCGGCCACCGTTTCCCTGCAGAGGTGAGCGCATAGCTGTCCACAGAGGGACGAAGTGGGCCGCGGGGGAGTGGATCTTGCCCATTCCTGACCTGCCTGTCCTCTCCAGATCCACGTGGTTCACCTCAGCACTGCATTTGCCAAAGTTGACGAGGCCTTGGGGCGCCCAGGGGGCCTGGCGGTGTTGGCTGCCTTTCTGCAGGTACCAGTCCTGGACACCTCCCACATCCGGCTTCCTCATGCCCCCAGGCTCAATGTATCTTGCCCACAGAGCCTCATCCCAGCACACTTACCCTGGCACCTGCTTATCATCCTCACTCACTCATTAGTTCATTCATTCAACACTCACTGTGAGGGAGGCTCTGGGCCTTAAAAAGGACTAGAAAATGAGAACCCTTGTCTCTAATGAGTCCACAGCCAGTGATAGGGTAGACACATACAAAGGACAGAGTGAGACGTGGTCAGGGAAGGCTTCTCAGAGGAGGTAAAGCTTGAAGACTTCACTAGTAGGAAAGAAAAGATGTTTTGTGCAGAGCAAATGGTACATGTAAAGACTCAGAATATGGCCCATTCAGGGAATGACAGGTGCAATCAAGTGGACATCGGGAGGAGTAATTTCTCTAATGCTCCTATAACAATATCCCCTTTGTGAGATGCAATAGCCTAGAGAAGCATTTAGTGACTTCTTTGGACCTGTAATGATCAAGGCTACATAAACAGTGATTAGAGGACGCTAGTAAAATGAAGAGATGATGAGATGCATGCTAGGTTCACTCCCACCTTAACCGACTCCAGCCTCAAAGCACAAAGTTCAGAGATGTGCCTCAGAAAGAACATGTCCTTGCTCCAAGTCAATCACATGGATTATTAAGGTGAATGCAGAGGTAACATGAGTACAAAGGTCATTATGGTTTTCAGGAGTGGGGCCCAGGTCATGGGGGTCTTGTTTCCTAGTGGCCACCTTCCTCCTCTTTCTCCATTGAAAACGAACCTGCCGAGCATGTTAGGTTAGTTTGCAGAGTAAGAGTAAATGAACTTTGAGTAATAATACATAAGATTGTGTGTTTCCTCCAGCATTCTCAGAGTGGAGAAATGAGGGAGGCTATGGGAACCCCACCTCACCTTCAGGCCTCTAGCCATGGCGCTAGACACATGTGCTACCTGTCTTGCTCTGTCATTTCCTAGGAAGGCCCAGAAGAAAACAGCGCCTATGAGCAGTTGCTGACTCATTTGGAAGAAATCGCAGAGGAAGGTATGGCGATGGGGTCCTTCCCACAGGGAGAGGGTTGATGTGTGAACTGGACAACTATGATCTTGATAATAACTATGAAGCTGACCAGAAGCAAACGGGCAGAGGCAAACTTCTGCCAGCCAAAATAAGGCAAAAACCAAATGAGACCAAAAAAAAAAAAGTGTTTGGAACTTCAGAGGTTGATTCTGGAGAGCTAAAATTTTTCTGAGAACTATCTATTCTCCTTCATAAGCATCACATATTTTAAACTTGTAAATACTTTTGTTGGAAATCTTTTTCATCTCAGTCACTTTGGGTCATTTTAAGTCTCACCCTGCTGGACTTTAAGTTTTGCTAAACTAGAGGGAGCTGTGCTTCTTGAATTTTTGTGTGTTTTTTTTTAATAGTTACAAATATTTATATTTATTTACAGGTTATTCAGCTCAATTTCCTTTTTGATGTTCTCTGAGCTTAAATCTGTGGTCCGGCATGTTAGCATAGAATGCGAAGGAAGAGTGAAGCCTCAGAGGGGGGAACTAAGGAGCAATTCTCTTACTCTGGGAGACTCCAGAGCCCTTTGCTTTCTCCCAAGTTGTCTTGTGCTGCTTTGGGAAGGGATACGCTTAGAGACGAAGTGGTCTCAGGGAAGTGAGTCAACTTGGCTTCTGGGATATGAAACTGTATCCCTAGACCCAAAGCCTTGGAGGGGAGCCACGTAGGTGAGACTCCAGCACAGGTCCTTTCCACAGACTCAGAGACGTGGATCCCAGGACTGGATGTATCTGCACTGCTGCCCTCTGACCTCAGCCGCTACTTTCGATATGAGGGGTCTCTGACCACACCCCCCTGTGCCCAAGGGGTCATCTGGACTGTTTTCAACCAGACAGTGAGACTGAGTGCTAAGCAGGTGGGGCTGAAACATGTGGGCGTGTGGGGGACATGGGGGGAAATGAGAGAAAGAGAAGGCATAATGTAAGGGCTGTTGGGAGGAAGAGAGGGACATGGAGGGTGGAGACCTGAGGTATGGCTGTGAGTAGGCCTATGATCCTTTTGTTCCCTTGTCTTGAGCCCTCTTTTCACTGTCTAATGACCCCCCTAGCTCCACAGCCTCTCTGGCTCCCTGTGGGGACCTGAGGACTCTCGGCTACAGCTGAACTTCCGAGCCACACAGCCTTTGAATGGGCGAATGATTGAAGCCTCCTTCCCCACTGGGGTGGAGCGGACTGCTGAGCCAGGTGCAGCTTTGTCTGGTATCCCATGTGTCCTCATTTGTCTGTCACTGGTGGTCACAGCCCCGGTTCTAATGTCTTCTTTGTCTCTTCAGTCCACCTGAATTCCTGTCTCGCTGCTGGTGAGTCTGTGCTTCTCCTTTGGCTCCTGATGCCGGGGACAACCCTTGGCACAGTTTAGTCCCAGGGGCTAGTCAGGACCACGTCTACTGCCTCTCCTTTTCTGCAGAACAGACCTCCAATCCCAATAGGATAGAGTGTCAGGTCAAGGTGTGTGGGGAGTGTCCCTTCTTGTCCTCAGGGCAAGAGTTGGTCAGAATAAAGCTCCAAAAATCTCCTAGCACCTTCCTTCCAAAATGACCTCTTTTATATCATTTTTAGGGAGGAAAAAAAGTGGGTTATTTTACCTTCTTGAGTATCCATCTGAATCCCTTGCTGGTCTCCTCTGGATTCTGATATGCTGAGGACAGCTGGAGACTTTAGGGCTGGGGTGGGGAGATACCAGAAGTAGGCCCTGAGGGAACCCTGCTGACTCTCCACTCCCTGAGGCAGCCTCTCCTCTCCCTACAGGAGACATCCTGGCCCTGGTGTTTGGCATTCTCTTTGCAGTCACCAGCATTGCCTTCCTTGTGCAAATGAGAAGGCAGCAAAAGTATGTGTTATACTGACCCTCTCCCTCAGGCACAGCCTCCTCTTCCTGAGGAGTCCAGAACCTGCAAATAGCACACAAATGATCTCATCTTGGGCCAGTTTTCTGATTACTCTTCCCTGTCCTGTAGACATCCAAGTGGGACCAAAGGGACTGCTGGCTACCAGCCAGCAGAGGTCTCGGAGACTGCCGCCTAGAGGCCTGGGACGTGGAGAATGCACCGAGAAACCAGCCGGAGGGAGCCCAGGGGAAGCAGGAGAATTTGTTCTAGCCTGCTTATTACACCTCTTCCTTTTCAAGTATTTTTTTTTTAAATAAATGTTTCTAATAAAATATGTGGAAGGTGCCTTTGTTCCCCAAATCAGGAGGGTTATCCATTTCCTGCCGCTGCTGTACCAACATTATCACAAACTCAATGGTGATGCAAATTTTTTTCTCTTAGATTTCTGGAGATCAGAAGTCTAAAATGAATCTTATAGGCTAAAGTCACGGTGTTGGCAGGGCCAGTTCCTTCTGGACACTGAGAGAATGTTTCCTTGCCTTTTTCAGCATCATAGAAGCCAAGCACTCCCTGGCTTGTGGCCCCTGCCTCACATCACTCCAACCTCCTGCTTCCATTGTGATACCTCCTGCAACTGCCTTTGACCTTTTTGACTCCCTCTTATAAGGACCCTTGTGATTGCATTGGGCCTATCCAGATAATCTAGGATACTCTCCCCTCCCAGAGTCCTTATTTTAATCACAAGGTCCCTTTCCCATGTAAGATAACATTTCACATGTGGACATATTTGGTGGTGGTGGGCAGTCTGCCATCGGGAAAGAGGCAGAAATGACTGAAATTGTTGAAATGTGTGTGTGTGTGTGTATAGACCAGTGTGTGTATCTGGGAGTAGGGCAGGCTTAGCCTCTAGGCTTAAAATCACATGGAGGCTTTGGGGCTTTCACCTTGCTCAAGTAAGATCTGTGTAGCTTTGCAGTTTTGCATTCAGGTTGTGCTGTCTGGCTCAGCTGCCTGCTGGAATGGGGCAGTGATGCTGGCAGCCGCTCCTGGGCCCTTTGGGGAGTAAGGGCCAGGATGTAATGCCAGCCCTAGTGGCCTCTGTTTCACACAGCCTGTTCACAACTCCTAAAGGAGCGTGGCACCCCCACCCCTTGGCTACCATGGAAAAGAACGTCTTGTCACAGAACGTGGAACTAGGTCCTGCTCACTCCGGGTCCTTCCAACTCCATTTCTCCCCTCAGGCATCCTCTCAGCCTTCTCCACTTTGGGAAACTACCAACACCATTGTCAACACCAAAGAAAGGCTTAAAGAGCCTGTGATGCCAGTAACATCAGTTTTATTGGGATGGGGCGGCAACTATAGCCTGGTTGGAGGCAGAGCCAACCCTCACAGGTTGTTGAGTTCCAGCAGGGTCTGGTCGAGGGTCTGGTGAATCTCCACGTTCTCCTCCTTGGCACTGGCCAAGGTCTCTGTGAGAGGAAGCAGCACATGAGGAGGGGGTGGGAGACACAAGGGAGGAGACGTGGGGAGGCACAGACAGGGGATGTGACCAATCAACATGGAGTAGGTTGGAGGCACATGAGGACACAAGCATTCAGGGATCTGAGGACCCTATGGTAGGGGTAAATAGATGAATTGACCAGGACAGACATGGATGCCTCACTCAAAACTGTGGGTCATGGAGGTGGGATAAGAAGGCCTGAGTCATAAACTAATTTACCCTCCTTCTTTAGAAGGTTTAAGAGAAAGAAGGACAAAGACTTAGCCAGGAAAGGGAGGGACAGACAGACAGACAATCTTGAGGCAGAAACAGACCTGCAGTGAAAACCCTATGTTGCTGGCATCCAACGTTTTTCCAAACTTCATCTCAGACCTTTCACAACCTTCTTGCCCCTCCCCTGCACCTCACCACCCCATTTCCCTTCTGGTCATTCCTTGAGATCCTGGAACCCACAGTTCAGCGCTCCAAGGTCAGTGACAGGCCTGGGTCTGCAGAGGCACGAGAGAGCTCATGGTGACAGATGGAGTCATACCATGCCCGCATGCAGCAGTGACAGAGTGACAGACTGTGAGTGCCCATGCAGAGGAAATTTCAGTGTGGCCACGGAGTTTTGTGGGTGTCACAATATTGGGGTGTCTATAAGAGCCAAGGTCTCAGCAGTGCTCTTATGGGGGTAAAGAAAGTGCTCTCTGGAGGGCAGGAAAACAGCATGGAGACCAAGTTGAGTTTATTAAGCAGCAGAGAGGTAGAGGCTGGTGGGTGGAGGGGGGAGTGGATGGATAGAAGGAAGAAGCAAGTACCAGGGTGGGCAGCATGTGTGATGGGTGCTCTCCTAGGCTGCGCCCAGCCTGGCTGTGCAATGTTGGCAATTTTTGCTCCTCCTGCCCGATCCTTCCTCAGAGAGAGAATAGAAAGGAGAGGAGAGAAGGCCGAGGTGGCCACACTGGTGAGGGGCTCAGAGAGAGGTGATGTCATTGAGTGCGTTGTCCAGCTCCTCGCTGATGGCCTTGTACTTCATCTTCTGCGCATAGACTTCGTCTGGAGGGGGTCCAGGGATGGGTGGGAGTGTGGGGAGAGGGAATAAAAGGAAAGAGGAAAGGAAGGAGAGAGGATAATGGAGAGAACAAGAATCAGAGAGGTGAACAAAGGTGAATGAGAGAGAGAGGCTAGAGAGCAGGCTAGAGAGTCGTCAGGGCTCCCTCGTTCCCTCTCTGTACCCCTGTCTCTTTTGTCCTTCTCTGTACCCTAAATTGGTTCTTCTCCCAGGAGTTCCTGCCTCCTCTGGGGACCTGGGGGCACAGTGCTTTGGATAAGCAGGAGTGCTTGCTTCAAGGGGAGAGTACTCAAACCAGAAAGACCAAAGTCCTACAAAGTTGGAGATAAAATTGAGGCTTGCCTAAGAAGGCTGAAGCAAGGGAAACTGAAATTATGAAAGTGAAGGGTTATCAAGTACAATAGAAAGGAAAGAAAGTTTTAGGCACAATGTTGATGATAGTGAAAAAGAGCTGTAGACTTAGCAAATAACCTGAATGATTGCTTGTACCAAATCTAGCTTAAAAGAGTACTTTACATTAATGTTGTCTTGCATACCTAGCTATTAAACTAAATAGCTCTCTATGTAATAAAGAAGTCTCTGTGATATAGTTCTACTGTGTTGCACTTGGAGACAGAATTGTCTAAATCAGTGCTATTCAAAGGGTAGTCTGAGGACTGATCAGCAGCAACAGGTTTACCAGAGGGCTTGTTAGATACACAAATTCTCCAGCCCAAAGTCAGCAATCATTTTGGAATAGGACCCAGAAATATGCATTTTAATTTTTTTTTTTTAATCCTCATCCAAGGACATTTTTCCATTTTTTGTTCAGATAGAATGGGAGGAAGAGAGAGAGAGAAACATCGACGTGAAAGGGACACATCGAGTGGCTGCCTCCTGCATGACCCAACCAGGGCCGGTGACAAACTGCAACCTAGGTACGTGCCCTTAGCGGGAACCGAACCAGGGTCTCTCTGGACCGCAGGCCAACGCTCTAACCGCTGAGCCAAACCGGCCAGGGCAGAAATCTGCATTTTAAAACCTCTGGGGGATTCTCAAGCATGCTCAAGTTTGAGAAGCACTGGAGTTGTATCTGGTTACAAGTACCTAAATGGAAGGCACTGCCACCAGAGTTTGTGGAGTCCTAAGTGGTCCAATTCTAATTTATCAGTAGCAAATATAATGGGACTCAAAGATAAGGGACAGACTGACATTCATGAGGAGTGCAGTTTGGGGGTACAGGGGAGATCCCCTTTACCTTCCAGGTCATCAATGGTTTTCTCCAACTTTGCCACAGACCTTTCAGCAAACTCTGCTCGGGTCTCAGCCTGGGAATAAAGGCAAGATGTGGAAATGACAAAAAATGAGTACCCCCCTCCCCCCCAGATACTATCACTTAAGTCAACCTTCTCATCTATCCCTATTTCAAATCCCCTGCCACAGGCAGTCTCTGGTAGGGACTGTGAGGCTTGAGGGAAAGGTGGGGACTGGAAGGACTCTCACCTCCTTTAGCTTCTCCTCCAGCAGTTTGATCTCCTCTTCATATTTATCTTCTTTGGTGGAATACTTTTAGGGACATAACATGCCATTAGTAGAATGCCCCCAGAAATCCTTAATTTCTCCTGAACCCCACAGGCTATTCATGATCTTGTCTCCATGGTACACCCAGACCCACCCTGCCTGGGCCCATCGCCTCCCTCCCTTGCAGGACCCCATCCTCACTGCCCCTCTACCCCCCTCTACCTTGTCTGCTTGGGCTTCCAAGGATTTCAAGTTGTTGGTAACAATTTTCAGCTCCTCCTCTAGGTCCCCACATTTACTGCAGGGGGTGTGTGGCAGGGTGGGGTGTGAGGGCACAGTGGGGGGAGACGGTGGAGATGGCACAGTGAGGGAGGGGTAGAGGAGAGAAGAGAAGAGAAGAGCAAAGTTGTGAGAGTGACAGCAGGCAGAGTTTGGAAGCCCAGACCCTTCCCGACCCCAGCAGATGAGAGAGAACGGCCTGAGATGGAGGGGAAAGTGAGATGAGAAAAGGCACCATTGCCCAGAAAGGTCCAGAGAAGTCACTACCTCCTCCTCTGAGGCCATCAGGGACTTGAGGGCCTGGTCCATGGTTCGAAGTTCTTCCTCCAGCTGCCTGGCTCGGCTGGGGGCAGCGGGTAGGGGTCAGAGGACAAGACCTGTCCCTATGGCCCCAAGTCTAAGAAACTAGCTCCCCACTGTGCAGAGTGCCCCCTAGCCACCCCACAGTGCCCTTACCTCTCAGCCACCTCAGCTCTCTCTTCTGAGCGCTCTAGCTCTCCTTCCAGGATCACCAGCTTCCTGGCCACCTGGGGTGAGGGGGAGAGAGAAGGAACAGATCCATGGTGAATGACTGGGGGTGTCTGGGGCTTGGGAGTGAGAAGGAAGTGGACCAGGGCTGTCACCTCCTCATATTTGCGATCCGAATCCTCAGCGATGTGCTTGGCTTCCTTCAGCTGCATCTCCTGCAGCTCCATCTTTTCCTCATCCTTCATGGCTCGGTTTTCAATGACCTTCATTCCTCTGAGAGGCAAGGAGAGGGGGAAGGAAGGGTCAGGACCAGCAGAGGCAGCCTCCCCCCTCCCTGGCTCAACCCTGAGGGCCCCCTGCCCACCTCTCACTCTCATCGGCTGCCTTCTCAGC